AAAAAAAAAAAAAAAATACTAATTTTACATTTTAGTTTTATTAGTTATGTAGCAACATATCATTTTCTTATATTACATTAATTATATAATAAATAAATTAGTTGACAGGCCAGCCGACGGTCCTTGACTGATTAATTAATTTATTATTATATAATTATGTAATATAATAATAATTCATTTTTATTATATAATTAATGTAATACATAATGCATATTTAGTGAAATTTTTTTGAAAATTGGTCCTCTAATTAGTTAAAATTCGGGCCAGTCCCGACCCGGCCATACCGAATCTGGTACCCGTCCTATAAAAATGGAAATTATTTATTTTCCTGGGCTGGCCCGACCCGGCCCACCAGATCATATGTTCAAAATGGTCGACCCAGAAAACCTAGTTAAAATTCGGGCCAGGCCCGGACCCGTGGTCAACGGTATGAAAGGTTGAGTTCCTCCCGATTCTGGGCCGGGTCTTAACCGGGTAACCCATGGCCATGTCTACTATAGGTGGTGTGGGTGAACCTTCAAAGGAAACCATGCAGTCTGATCGAGTCAATGGAGAAAGTCATATTCGACCTAAGCATAGACAAATAAGAGGTCGAATCGACCTCATCCTACCCTATCAATAGAAGAGCTGAAGAAGAACATGTTCTACCAGATTGAGGATTCGACCTGGTAAAGGAGATTCAACCTCGTAAGTAGGCAAAAGGGGATTTATCAGGAAAATCACGCCATATGAGGATCGGACAACGCGTCACGATAAGATTGGGTCGTCAGCATCTCTGACACCTGGCAGTCTGAGGCGCTGCAAGTCGTACGGACGGGCAATAGGGGCAGTCGGGTCAACTCTCCGGGCAAGCTTGGGAACAAGATATCACTTCCCTATATAAAGGGGTGTAGTATGTTAGTAGTTTTGGGATAACATTCTTTGCACACTCATATATTTATTTACTGTTCATCACCCTAAAGATATACAACATCAGAAGCTCTTCACCAGAAAACTCCCTTTTTCGGCGTCGAGTTTTTGTAGGTGTGGAAGCTGTTCGAGGTCGAAGAAGGAGTTACAGGGGTCGACGAAGCTGTTTAATCGTTATAATATTCCGAACCAAGACCGAGTGAAGTCTGTTTCACTATTACATCGAATCTCCGAAAGCCTCACAAATTTTTTCTCCTTTATACCTCTCGATTTTGGTCGATTTTCCTCAAGAAGAGAATTCACTTATTCTCACGCTATTTCACACACGTTGGGAACATATGACGGAGGCTAAGGGGTATGTCGTATGCGCATTTATAAGCTTCAACATGAAACATAAAGAGGAGGTAACTATGAACTCTCAAATATGAGTGTAACTGTGGGCCAAAACCCACTCCACTTCATGCTCGAATGATATTATATGTTCTCTTATTTTGGGAAACTATGTCCTGTTGACGGAATGGTTCCGTCAATGTTGGTTACCGTAGATTATCCACACAAGATAATCTTTATGTGTATCCAATGGTGTAAAATACTGACGGTACCATCCCGCAACGGGACCTTAGAATTTTCCCTTATTTTGAGTTATACGTTTATTGTTTCTATTCCGAATAAGAATAAAAATAAAATAAAATCTCCTCTAACGACAAGATAAATTGAAATTGACCCATTTCTCCGTTAAAAAAAAAAAATA